AACGAAGCCTGATGAAGGGCCAAGTAGCCCAGAGATTAACGTTGTGAATCGTTGATTTGAACTTGGTATGAAACCCAATTGCTGGTTTCGTAGGGTCTGCGGTTCGAGTCCGCACCTGAGCTTTTGTCTTTTAGCTTGCTTGAGCTCTTCTCACTATTCCACTTTGTGTTTATCCTTTCTACGCTTCTAGGTACCCTTTTCGCCCTCTAGCTGATGCCGTACTCTCATTACTGGGCTCTCTATTCCCAAAGGCGATCTTACCCCGGCGGGACAAGGCTCGCAACATGCGCAGCATCTTGAACTAACTCGTAGCCGGGCTTGATCAAAAGCGGGCATTTCTTTTGTGACGACTAGACGAGAGTAACACACGTGCCCTCGACCTTTGATGACTCATTGTCGGAACGAAGGTCTGGTTTTGGATGAATTGAGAAACCAGGTTCATTGGGACTGTTTCCAAGGGGCCAATTCGAGGAACGCTCCAACATTGTCGAACGCGAGCATTGTTTGTGCAGTATCGCCGTGTCGACTTGTGAGGACGCTCATGTAGTCCTTACTGCTAGACAGCAGCGGGATTGCAACGTACGGCTGCCACTGGTCTCATTCACCAGTCACTCGCGCTACACAAACACGACGTCTACTCACTTGATTCGCAGTATAGACCATATCAACAAGGTCAGAGTACCGTGAATGCTTCTATTGTAGACTATGCACAGCTCGTCTCATGGCCTGGAACAGGATCCCTCCCATCACTCTCTCACTCAGTCGAGGCCGAAGGACCCAACGACAGTTTCTACAGAAAGATGACGTGTTTCAGAAGAAACATTTCCCGTTTCTCCCCTTTCACAAGCCACCTCCCACCCCATGGCCAAAGTTTACAAGAAACACACACACACAAAGAGAAATCAGTTCGGCAGGGAGGTGTGGGAAGGGGATTAGATGAGTGATGGAGATATGCTAGTCGGTTGGTTCATCTTTTACTCTTCTCTCTCTCATAAAAAAAAGGGAGGGGCTTGATGGTTTTGTTATGGTGAGAACTGTTTTACAAAGTGTCGGTAAGGAGCTTGTTGAGCTTGGCGATCTTGGAGGAGACGCTAAGGTCAATGGTACGGTCGCCGACCTCGACGATGAGGCCACCGACGATCTCGGGGTTGACCTGGATATTGTGTCAGTCCAAGTTGCGCTCTATAGCGCAGAGCTCCGCCCGGTCCGAGGTGATCTCGGGGTCTCGGCCGAGGTGAAGTGACGTACCTGGTTGGTGACCTTGAGCTTCTTGCCCTGGCCGACGTAGGAGGACTTGGTGATGGCAGACTCCAGTCTGTTGAGGGTCTTGTTGTCGAGTTGCTGCAATGATGTCAGTCGCAGTTTTCGTGTAAGTGATCATCCCCTCTGAAATCTGCTTGTTGAAAACCGCACACATGCGCGGTATTTCTGTCCGTCGAGCAAGTTCCGCCACCACATCCTCAACCAAGCTTCGTCTTCTTGATTTACCGAATGCCCACGCCCTCCTCAAAGCAGAAACCACAACGCAATATTCCCTCAGCATGGTGTGAGACGTACCGTAGCGCTGGTGACAATAAGCTCAACCTCACCACGAGCAGCGCTCATGATCTCGCCGAACTTCTGGCAGACACCGGGGAGGAGGCCGAGGCGGTTGTTCTCGGCGAGGGCGGCAAGAAAGTTCTTGACGGTCTCCTGGGAGCCGGCGCCGGCCTGCTTGGTGAGCTCGGCGACGATGGCGGTCTTGTCCTCGGCGCTCAGGGTAGGCGCGGCCAGGATGGTGGACAGCTTGGCATCCTTGTTGACGAGGGCCTCGAGGCTGGACAGAGCCTTGGCCGTGGGGTCGAGGGCGGAGGTCTTGACAGCGGCGGTGTACTGTGGTAAGTGAACGCAGTTAGCGATTGTGTCGCTCGATTGATGCCCAACTTTTTTTTTTATCCCTCCATTTCGCTTCCTTCATCGGAGGGACCCCTCGATGTTTCGAGCTGCCTCAATTGGATGACAGGATCCAATTGAGCCCGGAAAAACATGACAACAGGATATTCGTACCAGGGCAGTGGCGTAGGTGCCGTCGAGGCCAAAGACGGCGACGGGGGGCTTGACGTTCTCGGTGGCAGCAGCGGCGGCGGCGTAGGTTCGGACGGCCGGGACACGGGGAGCAACGAGGCGCGACGCGGGAGCCGCCGCACGAACTGCGCGGGTAGCCGATCTCGAGAACATGGTGAACGTTCGGGTGGGAGTGTTCAGTTGATGGGAGTCGGACGGGGGGGCGTCGAGGCGGGGAGGGAGGGATGCTGCTGATTTGAGGAGCAGTGGTGGTAGCTGTCGGTTTTCGAGGTTGAGGTTTGAACTTCGGCAATTTGGGATGTTGATGCCTTGGGGCTGGCGCTGTGTCGTCCGCTGTTGATGTGAGGCATCAACTTAGGTAAGCTGGGTCTCCAGGGTGGTCGGGTCGGTGGAAATCGGAGCTGGAATTCCACTCCATGCTCTGTCCTGTCATTACCTTACCACCTTACAGGCACCGGCCAACCAACAGCTCGGAGCCCAAACAGACGCAAGCCCCACACCAATTGAGTTCCCTGACAGTGAGATACGAATTGAGATGAACCATGAGTCCCTTGGCGACACATTCGCCCGTGGCCAAACGCGCGAAAACAGAGTTGGTCATGTCTAATGCTCGAATTCTCAATCCCATTGCCGGTTCGTCCGTAACCCTGTGTGTAGTCTACAGTAATATCACATATGTCGCTGCGACGCCCCGTCTCGAGGCGCTGCAACGGTATCAAAGCCCAACGCGCCCAGTCATTAGCACTTCCTTCATTGCAAGCCAGCCCGCGTCCCTGTTATCCCCAACGCCTAGACAATGCAGTTTACTCATCGGCGCAAACATCGTCATTACTGCGCTCAATCGCTCTCAATCATCTTCTCGGCAAGATCGTTCAGGGGCCCGTAAAAGTCCTTGCCGCTCGCGAGCTTATGCTCGTCGACAAACAGCACGTACTGCTTGAAGCTCGTGTTGAGATGGGGCTCGAGGCCGAGCTCTCTGATGATGCTGTAGTGGTGGCAGTAAACGTGAGCATAGACTCGATACATGCGCTTGAAGATTTGTCGCACGTGCGACGGGAAGTTCTTTGGGAAGGGAACGCCTGAGCCTTGTTGTCAATACCACGTCCTCCCATGCAGCGGGTAGTATACGTACCAATCCTACTCGGCATCATCGTCTCGTTGTCGATGGTGCTTTGCACCCAGGTCATGAGGTGCTCAATGTAGTCCGGAGCTGACATGTGGGTCGGTTTCTTATACTGGTCACTATCCTGCCACAGATACTCGAATTCGTCCGTTGCCTTCATCTCGGGGCACGACTTGGGTGAGCAAAACTCGGTGATGGCGCCGTAGAGGAGATTGATCTGGTTGTAAAAGTCGACCACTGCGCATCGTAAACGTCAGCCAGAACGGTACGCCACTGCTGTCTTTCAACGCCTGGGATCCCTTACTGTTTACCGCCAACCACTCGTTCTCGTCCTCGCCCTCCGGCAGCTTCACGACCTTCCTCAGACTTCCTCCTCCCAGGGTCGCTTCGGCATACTGTCGCAGCGCAACACCATTATTGCCTCCCTTGACGGTGCGCGCACGGAACTGGTTCCTGCCGGCCTTACTGTTCCCGTCGCAGTCGTCGTCAGCGCTTGTCTCAATAACTTCGGGTTCATACGTCTTGATGACGGTCACGTCGCGAGTGACAGCATTGCTGCGCAGAGGGTCTGGTACAAATGGCGAGGGCGAAGGCATCGGCAGCGATGAAATGCCTCCCGCCAGCAGCCCAGTCCTCACGCTGAGGTACTGCAAAAGGGACATCATCGGGGCCGCTGTTGTGGTGGTACTGACACTGTCATTCCCGGCACCGCGCTCATGTTTGCGGCTTGTCGAGAAGCGCTTGAGAATTCGGGTGCGTTTTAATACTGTCGTCGTTTCGTTTTGGATCCTGCATTCCATTCCAGCGGTTAGCGGGGTAATGGAACAGATAGAATCCACAAGATGTACGCCGAGACGTTGTTTGGAGCATGCCTACCTGCTGACGTCGACGGACTTATGTGGTGGATGTAGGGGTCCGGTCGGTGGGAAGATGTAATGTTGGGGCCGAAGATCAACCTGGGATCGCGGAGGTTGCAGGTTAAGCAAGAGATGCGGTGCAGGTTGTTGTTTTGGGTTATCGGTAAGGTGCTGGTCAAAGGGTCCTTCCTCCCTACTGCGTTGGTGGTGTTTATGCGCTTGCCCAATCGGTGTGGTTGCTGGGCTGCAAGGGCCGGCTTTGTGGGTATTTCAGCCACATTCCCCCTTGTCTCTGTGGCTAGAGCACGGGGTCATCTCCGCTGCTGTTCCGCAATGACGGACAGCCGGACGCGGTCCCATCTACGGAGTACTTCGCAGCTGTAAGACCCATTTCCCCAAACGTTCGGGAGCCGATCCGTCTCTCATGTTGAGCCAAGCTTTACGGTGTCACTCCGGACGAAAATCCAAGGCTTTGCAGACCGGGTGCTTACTCGTGTCTATCCATGCAAATCCATCACGCTCAGCCCCCTAATGAGTTCTACCGGCCGCCCATTTGAATAGCCTCAATTGAAAGTGGGGAACAAGTCATCCCCGCACTCTCTGTTCTTGTTTCCCCTCATTATCCCTCCCTTTGGGTCCAAGGAATGCCGGTCTGCTTTGCAACTACACTTGGGTGTATTCGGTTGAGAAATGCCCGAGATTGTTCATTTTACGAAGGAAGCTCTAGACAGAGGCTAGAATTGCTTGTGACCCCAACCTTTCGTCGTCATGGGTTGGGTGTCGATCTCCCAGGGTTCTGGTCGTGGCAGGCCTTCCCCGCGCACACGGAAATCCGGAGACGACGACGCGAGTTGGTCTACAAATAGTTATTAGACCCGTCCTTGCGTCCAATAGATCTCTAGCTCTCAACAAGTTTTGAAAGCTGTACTTGGAAGCTCTGGGAGTTGTCTGTCGCCATGCGTGCCTTAGACATCGTGCCACTACTATGTGCCCTGGTTGAGGCCAGGATAGACCGGCAGAGAGTCGTTCAAACTTTCAACCCTCGCCGTACTGCCAGTTCTCCCGAGACGCCGCTGCAGGTAGGCAATGGTAACTTTGCATTCGGGACCGACATCACTGGTCTCCAAACCTTCAGTCCCTTCGCGACCATGTCAACGTGGGGATGGCACAACTTCAGCCTGCCCACAACTCCGGGCCAGACGTCCATCGATGGTTCGTTCGCTGAAGACATTGACCTCTAGGAACCAGACACTGACTACTTTCGCAGACTACCATGGCACTGAGTGGTGGACCCATGGCCGGCTCGTCCAGTACAACATGGCCAACCCGACAAACAGTGAGATTGCTGACTGGCTCCGTGAGAACCCTCATCGAATCAACCTTGGCACCATCGGCTTCTCTTTCAGCGGCCGTAACAGCATCACGGTCACGGAGAGCATGCTGGGCGACAAGGAACAGACCCTCGATATGTGGTCGGGTGCTATCTACTCGAGTTTCACACATAAGAACGCCTCCGTCAAGGTCGAAACCTGGGCCGATCCCAACTCTGACACCATCGCTGTGTCTGTTGAATCAAAGCTTCTGACATCTGGGGATTTGGCCATCTTTTTCGACTTTCCCTATCCGACGAACGACAAGTTTGGGGCGCCCTTCGTTGGTGCGTTCAACTTGACTGACCAACACACGACCACTCTCGGGGAGTGTGGAAAGAGCTATGCTACAATTCACCATAACCTTGCCACCGCAGAATACGACCTGCGTCTTGGATGGGACAGCGGCAGAGGTGATGGAAAGTTGGCATCACCAACCGACGGGAGCCATCGGTATGTCTTGTCCGTAAATGGCACTGACAAGCTCCGCTTCACGGCCAACTTCGCACGTTCCAAGCCAGCAAGCCAATCCAGTTTCGACGAGATTGCGACAGCGTCCCAAATTTGGTGGCCGACATACTGGTCTAGCGGCGCCTTCATCGATATGACCGCCACCGCAAACGCAAACGCAACCGAGCTTCAGAGGCGGACGATCCAGTCCCAGTATCTGGTAGCTGTCAACTCGGCATCAAACTGCCCTCCGCAGGAATCTGGCCTTGTTAATAACGGCTGGTTCGGCAAGTTTCATATGGAGATGGTCCTATGGCACAACCTCCAGTTCGCCCGTTGGAACCACTTCCCTCTTCTATCCCGCTCTCTGCCCCAGACCTATACCCGTCTCCTCCCTTCCGCGGTCTCCCGCGCCTCGACGCAAGGGTATGCTGGTGCCCGCTGGGGCAAGATGACAGACCCCTCTACTATTGATGCCCCGGGTGAGATCAACACTTTGCTCATCTGGCAGCAGCCTCACCCAATGNGACCCCTCGACTATTGATGCCCCGGGTGAGATCAACACTTTGCTCATCTGGCAGCAGCCTCCCCCAATGTACTTCGCCGAGATAGAGTACCGCCACGCGCCAACCACGGAAACCCTGGAGAAGTGGAACGACATCTTGACAGCAACGGCTGACTTCATGGCATCCTTTGCCTTCTTAAACGGGTCGACTGGGGTGTATGACCTTGGGCCGCCAATGTACCCCGTCTCGGAGAACACAAATCCAAATGCGACCGTTAACCCGACGTTTGAGCTGGCATACTGGCGCTTCGGGTTCGACATCGCGTTATCCTGGAAATCTCGTCTTGGGAAGCAGGCCCCTAGTGCTTGGGAAACTGTCAGAGACAAGTTAGCACCTCTACCTATTACTAATGACACATACCTTGTCTACGAAGGCATTCAGGGAATGTGGACCAACATATCCACTGTACAAGACCACCCAGCAATGTCGGGTATCTTCGGCCTCCTCCCACCACCAAGATCAGGCCCTGCTTTGAACCGGACCACCCTGGAAAACACAGCCGCCAAGATCTGGGATCTATGGGATCTCAACGAGTCTTTCGGCTGGGACTTCCCCATGCTTGCGATGAACAGCCTGCGATTGGGTGACTCGCAACGAGCGGTTGAGTATCTTTTGCACTCGACTTTCCGATTCGACGATGCGGGTTACCCCGTCGGAGGGACCAGAGTGCCCACGCCGTATTTCCCCAGCTCAAGCAGTTTGCTCTTGGCAATGGCTATGATGGCGGGCGGCTGGGACGATGCTGAAGGCTCACACTTTCCGGAAAGTTGGAATGTTGTCGTAGAAGATTTCGTGCCGGGCTTGTAGGTTGATTAGGATGGTTGGCCTAGAGATTTATAAAGTTATACATCCTCTCTAGTTGAACTCTGCACTAAGTCTGCATGACCAACTCGTCTCTCCTACAGTCCCTTTCAGCGTGGGTAAGCTCAAATGCAATGTCAAAGTCGACCAAAGCTATTGCGCGTGACAATCCACTTATTGATAAAACACTGGCTGGAATCTGAAATGTTTGATTTCCCCTATGCTGGCGTCCGTCATAACAACCAGACCCAGGATGGCGAGCATTTCACAATATTCTGCTCTCCATCCAACCAGCCGTTTGCTGCGGCGTCGAACGACAAATATAAAGGAGTACCGGTACGCCGTACCCTGGCGCTCATCCCATCAGCCCCTGAAACTCCGCTTTTCCATCCTCTCGTCTTTCAAGTTGATATTCACTCCCTGATGCGCATTCAGTCGTTTTGCCTTCTGATCATTCCAAGGGCTGCAGAGTACAAGAAGCTCCGGTGCTGTAGGGTAGAGCTTAGAGCAGAATTTCGCCCATATTCTCGCCTTCGAAGCCTAGCTTGCTCAACTTCTTGATGCGACTCTTGTCACGCGCCTTGTCTTGCTCCTTTTTCTCAGCGGCCAGCTTGTGCACCAGCTTAAGGTCAGCCGGCTCGTAGCCCGGGGGTGGATCGTCGTCCTTGTCAAGGTCGATCTCACCCAGGAGGAGCACATTCTCGCCCCGAACGAGGAAGATGCCTCTCTTTATGTCGGCAAAGAGCCCCGATGGGCGGGGTGGGTTCGCCTCCAGATCAGGGTGGGCAAAGACACGTTCGATGGTGTCTTGAAGGACGAGGTTTGCTGGTGACGCGGAGAGTGTCAGTCATTGCGTCTTTGCCACGCATCAGTATGCGATGCACATACCGAACTGATCCCAGCTGCGAAGGACACCGATCAGTTTGCGACCGTCACGGAGGGCGACCATGAGCTTTTCTACAGTCTGACGTTAGCTAGCTACGTCAATTGCGCCTGCCTCAAGTGAAGTAGGCAACGGCAGTCGCGTATTTTGCCTTACTGTCGGTAAGATCCAGTAACTGGGCGGCGGTGGTGAACATCTGCGGCGGAAGTTGAGTCTGTTGGGGAGGGGGCGGCGCGCGGCCGCCGAGAGCGGGTTGGCCCCCCTGTGCAGGGGCGTCGGAGATTGTGAGGTTTTCCATGATTTTTCCCCTCGTTATCTGGTTGGCATTGGTATTTGAGAATTATTGCATTCGGAGCAGTCCCAGTCCATCGATTATGGCCAGGAGAGAAGATACGAAAAGAGCAAGCAAGAGCTTATGCGAGGGCGCCAAAAAGCATCGTCGGGGTGGGAGCGTGCGAGTTTGTCGTGTCTAGTTCGATGGCAGTAGCCTTGCGATTCTGCCTCGTTTCGCTGCTGAGATGTGATACGGGCTGGAGTGTGGTGGGTAGGCAGTGTGGTGTTCGATCAAGCCATCATCATCGTGGGTCCACCCTGGTCAACTCAGCTAGTGTGGGCGACGGCGTTCAAGTGTTGGCAGGCGGTGCTTCTAGGTCGAGGTGGGTCCCAGCCGTCGTCGGAGGGTGTGTTTTTGCGTCATCCGAAAAAGGAAACTGCCCTGGATGGATGTTTGGAGCTGACACTTTTGGGCGCAAACCCCGGCTGGAACTCCGAGCACGGATCGTCGGGTGACAGGCGTTTGGGCGGCTGGGGCACGTGAAAGGCGGGGCATGAGTCAATCCTTGCTGTCAAAAATTCTGATGATCTCAGATGCATGCGGGGCATACTGTCGCTGATGCTCCCTCAGCACCAGTCACTGCTCTCGCCGTTGGAGGGGTATCAGCTTGACTAGTCTGCGTCCCAGCTTGGCCTTTTTTTTTTTTTTTTTTTCCCTTCCCCTTNTTTTTTTTTTTTTTTTTTTTTTTTCCCTTCCCCTTCTGTCAGTGATCACAACGTGAGCGCTCGACCTCTTGCAGCGTGCTGAGCAACTGCGGCGCGAGAGATGGATGGAGGACGACCGGTCTTGGGTCCTCGTGTCAAACGAACATCCAGGGCTGGAAGCTTACTTTTACTTCTAGCCTTTTGTTTCTTTCTCGCCTCTGTGGAGACTACTTGCGCTGTATCTAATAAGCAGTGATGGGGCCCTTTTTTTTGGTGTGTGTATGTAAAAGCAGAACCGACAGATCCGAAAAGCACTCATTCGGGTCATGGGCGAAGACTACGACAAACTGTGAATTCAAGCCTTCCGCTTCGCCCGTTTGTAACGACCAAATACCCTCTTACGCACCAAAGCCATGCTGGTTCATAGCCGCCCCCTTTTCCCACCATCTATAGCAAGCCAGCCGATAACGCCCATTCGTGATGCAATTGTTTGTTTCCCCCATATCCTTAGTTAATGAAAAATAATGATGTTTCTTTTGTAAAGCAGGCAGCGTCGCTAATTGATCTTACGTCCAACAAGTTCAGAGTCTCCGTTCCGAGATTGAGTACGAGGGGCCATTGGGGCTTGTGTGGTCTGCGTTTCGTGAGACAAAGTGTATAGCAGCGGCGAGGCGTAATCCGGGCGGCTCGCGGTGAATAAAGACGTTGCAGTAATGCTCGCGCAGGAAAGGTGCATGCGTCGCTTTCATATCATGAGCAAGGGACGAGGGACCAAGGCGCCAACGCGCCCATTGCGTATCATGACTTTTTCATAGTGCATCTAGTCAAGGCTTCAAGAAGCTCTGGCCGTGCCGCCAACGCTTCCTTAGCCTGGGTGTATGTCATCCATTGACGCTCCCTCTTGTGCTTCTCGGGCCAGTTGTCCTCTTGGCGAACGACTGTCGCTTCGTAGAATCGGTACAAGGACTTTGACGAGTCCTTGCTGGAGTGCTTCGGCGGGCGAGTCTCGACGATATCTCCCAAGTCATAGTTGATCTCGATGCTGATGCCTGCCTCTTCCCAGGCCTCGCGGGCCGCTGCCTCGGTGCACTCTTCGTCCGTCTCCCAGCCGCCTTTGGGCAGCACCCAGCCTTTTCTACGAGTAGACTGGATGAGGAGAACGTAGTGCTTGTCCTCTGTGAGGGGAACAACGCCGGCAACCAGACGCTCGCCTTTGGAGTTGTAACCTGCAGGATAAGGTGTTAGTGGGTCCCGCGCTGCAAGCAGGCGCACCAGGGTTTGAGGGGAGAGACATAGAGAATGGGAAGGGGAAAGCCTCTGCCCGCAATTGCGCACTTACGCTGCTTGCTTCTTCCTGTGCGCGACTCCATCGTCCGCTCCTTATGAGAGGAAGACATGCTAGGCAGCCTGTTGTTGTTGAATTCGCGGGAATTTGAAGTGGTGGGAGGGGTGTCGGAGGAGCAGACTAGGTAGTTGTGGGCTGCAGAGCTGCTCTGATATGTAGTCGCGGTAGCGTGGCGGTAGCGGTAGGTACGGCAACAACTTTTTTTTTTGCTCCTTTCTCGTGGTTGATGTGCAAGTCAAAAGGTGCCGGGGCGTCGGGGTTTGGTGAGGGCTCAAAGGCTTTTCAGCGACATGATCGCGTATTTAGCAGGGCAGTTTCTTGTTCCAATCGGCAGACGTTCGCTCTCTGAATCAAAGGTTGTTGCGAGATTTGGGAGAAGTGAATGGCGAGGTGATGGCGCGCGCTCTGTAGCTTCGGATGGAGTCGGTTGGGAGCTTCCAGATTTCGCTGGAGGACAGGACCTGGTCTTGCCTGAACAGGGCACCACTCCCACACGGTGTGATCGTAGGCGCTGCAGAGCAAGAGGGAACGCTCGGATGGATTTGATTCACCACCGTTGGAGAAACGAGTGGGACCGGCCTGAGGTGTGATGGGCCAGCAAGTCGCACGCTTCCGGCCGGAGGGCAGATTTTGGCTGAACCGACGAGTCACTCGGGCGGCGGAAGTAACAAGCGGACGAAGGCGCAAAGTCGAGTTGAGCGGCGAGGGAAAAGCAGGCAGCAAGAGTTGTATGCTCAGCCTTGGCAAGCAGCTGGTACACCAGAGGCGAAGTACGGATGGAGGCGAGGTAGACACAAGGGCAGCGTCAGATATGACTGAGGCACCACCGACTGACGACAGACCGCACCTTGGTGAGAGGCTGGGTGCCGAGTCGAGCGTCTGGCTTACTAGGCCTGCAACGGCACAAGACTTAAAAAAACCGAAAAGAAAAATAGAGAAATAAAACCCGAAAGGGTTCAACGTGGGAGAAGAGAGAGGTTGAAGCCGGCAAGGGCCAGGAAGGTTGAGGGAAGCTGTTGTAGCAGTGGCCGTAGTAATTGCTGGGAGCTCTGGTGCAGACCAGAGGGTGGCATGTCTCGTGCCATAGCAGCAGAACGAGGGAACGGGCTTCAGGGGAAATTAAAGTTGATTTATATACTTAACCCTTTGAAGATGGAGCTTGTGCTCGAACAGCCCACGCGTGCTAAGGAACGACTATGGAGGTGGCCCAGCTAGCACGTCCGGCCCAAAGTAAGGGAATGGGGGGGAAAAATTAAAAGAGAGGTCAGGGTATGATGCCAGACCAGGTTGGTAGCGGTAGGGAGTGCGTTGTGTGGCTGCGGCGTGTGAGTGAGATGCGAGTGTGTGTGTGGGAGAGGAAGTGGGCAATGGGAGGTGTGGGCTGAGCGCAAAAAACCGAGAGAAAATAAACACGGGCAAACGGTGCACCGTACCAAGCAGTGTGTACTGCATAGGTAAGTAAGGTAGGTAAGAAACGAGAGAGCAAAATGGAAGGGGGGAGGCGGCAGGGTGTGTGTTGTGGGAGCGAGCAAGCATTGGGAAAGGACGGCGAGATGGGGTGAGCAAGTGAGTGACATGCATAGGAAAGCTTCCTGTTGGTCTCTGGGAGGGGGAGCCAGGGCGGGAGCAGGGACAGCTCCGGTTCTGAACAACCCGGCCCAGGCCCAATCCAACCGGCGGAAACAGGGAGTAAGGTAGGTAGGTACCTCAAGAAGCAGCAAGAAGTGCCTTCCCGGTCCTTTGCATCGAGCAGCAAGTCCCGTCGCAGCGGAAACAGGAGCAAGAACAGTAGACGCCGCCGCTAATCTTCATGAAGCAAGCTGACGATCGATGGGGGTCCTGGGTCCCAAGCTGGTCCAGCCAGACCCAGTGTGTTCCAGCGCTCTCTCGCGGTGCTCGGCGTGTCAGTGTCAGGCCTGTATGCCGTTCATACGACCTGGAAGATCACTCATCTTGGTTACGAGCAGGAAGGACATGGAACCCGGTCTTCCAATTCGCAGCTTGCCAAGTCCTTCATTCACTTCACTGGACAATCCATCCCGCGCCCTCGTCGTCGCCGCCAGCTCTGCCCCTCCCACCAAACGCCAAACGCCAAACGCCAAACGCCAAATACCAAACAACGCAGAGCAAGCACAACGCTTAAGCATTGGGTGCCAAATGTGCCGCATGTCCTGCAGGCTCGGCATCCACTGCACTTGCGGCAGGGCATGTTCCCAAAAATGCATTAGAGGGGTGGGGTGCTGCAGTCGGGTTGTGATACGACTGGAAGGCCATTCCGGCAGTAGGGTAGGTACCTAGGTAAGGTGGACGGTTGGACCTACCCACCAAAGGTGCCTGAGTACCCAGCCAGGCCTGCCACCGTTTTGCTGCTCCTGTCCCCGTGTCCTTACTCTCTGATTCTTTGCTTCTCTCAGGTTTTGGTTCCCCACCGTTTCCGAAGCTTTGCAACACTGATAGACATTCTTCGGCCTCAAGACCCTGCAACTCTCTCGCGTCATCAACCACTTTTCCCAGTCCTGTCGCCAGACGGCAAGAGATCCATCATCTTTGAAACCTGCGGGTGAACGGGCATGGTAAAGACTCCTCTATTTCGCCGAGGTCTTGTCCAAGGAGGTTTAGAAGCCGAGAGTCAGGATGGCGTATCCTTTGAGTTTGCCTCGCGCCTCTGAAGGTTGCGTTGCGGCTTACCAGAAAGAAGACTAAACCCTTCTGCCGTCGGGTAACTATTAGCTACCTACCTTACCTACCTACCTACACACACGGACTCTCTCAACCTCGCCTGTTCTTGCTCCAATGACTCTCCCCATCAGACAACACGGCGCACGATCACGCCCTTTTGCTTCAAACCCACGCCCCCCTGTTCCCCTCTCTCGGCACGAGCCCTGACGGTCCGTTTCCGTTCTCAGTCGCCTCAATTGAGAAGGCAGAGCCGGCGACGAGACTGGAGCAAATGATGATGCTCCCAAGAGCCCATCATGAGCTTCATGTCTTGGCGTCCTCCTCTCAGCCAAGCGATGCAACGAACAAGCATATCGCTGGGAGATGTGTCCAATGCAAGCCATACCTTGCCGCTACTAAAACAAACGAGGGCAAGAGCGTCGGTTTGAACAGCCGTTGTCTGCACTTTCATCCATGGCCCGAGAACCAACGAGCGTGACCCTGCAGCGAGTACACCACCACCCACAACGCGAATCTGTGTCAGCCAGCGAAGAATGACCTTCAAACCGGCATGCAAGCAGAGATCCTTCTGACCCCATCAACCCCCTCTTCAAAGTTCAAGGCAGGGACTTGGCAACCGCCGCTACGGCTGCTGCACTAAAGGACTAATTAAGATCGGGTGCAAAGGAGACCGGTCAGTGGACCCGAGGAACTTAGGCGCCTCCTTTGACATGCGGACAGCGTGGCAGATGGAGATATCGGCCTGCATCTCTGCTTGATGATCGCCTGTAGACGGACGACTTTGGTGTTGCATCCAAGTCATCAACGAAGACAGAACCCAGACTCGACCCGTCCACGCGGGCAAGTTCGGTTCAAACAACGAGACAGGTCTAGAGGTTGCTTCAAGACACGGCATTGATCAGCCGCTCGCATCACTATTTTTTGTAGGGAATTCGGAACCTTCTTGAGCCAAGGCTTCCAAGATGAACCGTCGTTCATCTTTGGCGTCTTCCAGAAGCGGTTCCACTGATCCGGTTCTTCCCTTCGGGGGGCATGCAGCCAACCATCCACTGCAGTCCGTCCAAAGTAGAATTGCAGAGGCTACCGGAATGCATGCCACCACGCTCCGTTGCCTCTCTGCACCACTGAAGGAGGTCCGGCCTTCTCAAACGACGACATGAGAATAGACCAATCCAGTCTTCCGGCTGTGCTCTGATGACGGCTCGTTGTGGGGGTTTCGCATCTGCGCAAGGCATTCTGAAGATTCGATTCTGTAAGTCATCCTCATGTTCATGGAGGAGTGAGGCACACTGCCATCCCACGCACCAGTAACACAGCATCAATCCATGTACCGTACCTACCTTACGTGCTTACCTGCCTACCTTACTGCGTTATAAGGCACCCTACCCTAGGTACCTACCTACCTACTGCGTAGGTTACCTTACTTCGTGCCAGGTAGGTACCTTAGGTACCGAAAGGTACCTCCTACCTTACCTTACACAATGTGGATCGCCCACAATTGGAGGGGTTTCACAGCGTTCATACCCAAAAAAATTAAAAATAAAAAAAAGCTTACCGCGCTACGGCTCACTGAAGTTGCGTTGGTAGGTGCTTTACAGTGGTGCAGCATGCATCCCGCCAGGGCCTGGGCAGCTGTGCTTCATCTCAACGGCCTTGCGGGAATGGAATACTGCTGGTCAGCTTCAAGACGATGGTGACGTGAATTCCAACAACTCGTACTTTCTCAAGGTATCTACCGGCTGCATCGATCCCAAATCATACTCAACAACACCACGTCGTCACAGTCAATCCCCACGAGATCGACGAGTTGCGTCGCAATTTGCACGTCGATACAGTCTTTGTGTAACTGTCAGTTTCTCGGCACCCTCTGTGATGGTGCGCCTCTCCTCCTCGTGTTGCGTCCCGCTGACTCTTCCGCCATCGCATCTCAACTTCTTGGTCAGGGCCATCTCTCGCGTCATTCCAGATCCGACAGAGCCGCCGCCACCATACCCTGGCTCCCTTGTCTTATGTGCAATTCCTTGAGCCAAACAGAAGCTGATGTTACTCAGTAATCTGTCGGGCGGTAACGCTGGCAGTTCGCATCACACGTGCTCCAAGCTCCGAGCTCCTGCATATCCGTGCCTCCATCTCTGTTCCGAAAGACTTGCAAACGGACGTCTTCCGAGCAGAACGCGGTGCAAAGCAATACCGAGAGAGGGCCAAGGGCAAGTACTCGAATCCGACTCACACACCCACAGGCCCTGGCACGCTGGCAAGGCAAGACGATCCAAGACGTTGGGCTGGCAGTTGACGGTATATCGTACGCCACGCATGAGTGCCTACTGGCTGCAGCTAAGGTAAGGTAGGCAGGATAACGGCCAGGCAGAGATC